GATTGACGGCCGTAAGAACAAGGTCTGTGGCTGAGGGGCAGTGGGGAGTCATCGGCACTGGTGGTCTGGGGGAAATTAAATGAACAGCTCTTCCCTGTTCAGGAAAACACTGAGCAGTCTGGCCCGCAGATTAGTTCATCCCATTTTTGTTGAGTTCCTGCCGTAAGGCAGGTAATGGGAGGTATAAAGATGATCAGTAATTAGACAAAATCTCTGAGTTCACAGTCCACAGAAAAAACAGATTTGCCAACATGCACTCAGATCCCAGGGTTAAGTGTCATGAAACAAAGGGTGGGTTATGAGGACCTGGAGGTGGCCCACAAAGCTTCCCAGAGGAGGTGATCTTTGATCCTGGACGTGAAGGAGAAGGTGGGTAAGGGGATCCCAAGCAGTGGGGTTCTGAAGAGCAGGCATGGATGTACAGATGGTGTGACAGGTAAAGATCATTCTGGCTTAAAGGCAGAGAGGGGGAGGTGAGGCGGTTCCAAGAGACAAGAGCTCAGCTGGTGAGAAGAAGGTCAGTTGGGGGAAGAGCAGGGGTCACTGCAGGTTTTGGGCTTCAAAGCTGCCTCAGTCTGTGGCTGCAGGGAGGAAGAAGGGAGTAATGTAGCTGCATTCAGCTAAGACTGTGAGACCACCCCTGGGGCATGGAGGGCAGTGAGGGAGAGGGAGGCATCCTGAACCGAGGGGAGCGCTCTGGCCTGGGTGCTGAGGAAGCTTGAGGGAGATACTGCTGCTTTCACCACTGCCCTGTTATTAAGTGTGGACTTAGGCATCCAGATGGCAGGGCCTAGCAGGCTGGTTAAAAAGCCATGTCTGATATGTAGGAGAACATATGTATAGAGGTAAAGCAAAGCGGTAAGATTAATCATTTTGCTGGGGTGACCCCTATGGCTGTTACTTTCTCTTTTTTCTTTCTTTTTTTTTTTTTTTTTTAAGATTTTATTTATTTGACAGAGCGCATGCACAAAGAGGGGGAGCAGCACTCAGAGGGAGAGGGAGAAGCAGGCCCCTTGCTGAGCCAGGAGCCTGACGCAGGGCCCAATCCCAGGACCCCAGGATCATGACCTGAGCCGAAGGCAGATGCTTAACCAACTGAGCCACCCAGGCGCCCCTAAGGCTGTTACTTTCAATTTCAGAATACCTTCTCTCCATTGTAGGACAGGAAATCAGTCTCCAGTAGGTGTGACTGTAGGCGGGAGACTGTTGTGGTTTTTGACAGGCTGATTCTTAGACTGTCACCAGGGTAGAGCTGCTCTCCTAAATCTTGGCAGAGTCTGTCTTCCTGGAGACATGCCACAATGTGTTGACGGTTGTTGCTACAGCAGAGGGCAGTGGAAGCCCCCCCCCCCACCCCCCGGCAGGAGTTAGGTGGAGGTGTGGGGAACGGGTAAAGCTGCCCCAGCTCCCCAGCAAGGCTGCTGGTCAGACGCTATCCTGGAGCTGGTACACCAGCTCCTTAACACTGAGAAGTAGCTCTGCCTGTGTGGCAGGGACAGCCTGACTGAGAGAATGGGTCAGGCCCCAGGGAGGAAGGCTCGTCTCGTATCAGCCTCCGGTAAAGAAACCACAATAACGGCCACATTTAAGACAGGGTACCCAGAGTGGTGACAGGCCTTTTCCTTTGCAGAGTTATTCCCAGAACCTGTGTCTCTTGGCCAAGTGTTTCCTCGACCACAAGACATTGTACTATGACACAGACCCCTTCCTCTTCTATGTCATGACAGAGTATGACTGTAAGGGCTTCCACATCGTGGGCTACTTCTCCAAGGTGAGCACTCACCTGGACCCTCTCAGCCCTGCCCCAAGCCGTGTCCCCTCCTCACTCACCCACCACTCCCGTTTTCCAGGAAAAGGAATCCACAGAAGACTACAATGTGGCATGCATCCTGACCCTGCCTCCCTACCAGCGCCGGGGCTATGGCAAGCTGCTGATCGAGTTCAGTGAGTACCTGCGCGCTGGGCTGGGGGCCGGCACCTGCAGGCCCAGGCCCGGGGCCGGTGCTGCCATCGCACCTCCCCCATAATAGCATGCTGGGGTGCTGTGATTGTCAGCCCTACCACCACGTGAGCTGGCCAGAAAGCTGGGACTCTCCCAAGGTTTTCTCCCTGCTCAGGGTGACCACCCTGCTCGTGTGGGCTAGGTTTTCAGCCCCTCATTCTTCCTTGGCTAAGGTTCTAAGCACCACCCAACTTTTCCCAATCTGACTCCTATGCTCCCACCAAGGGCCCTGGGCAGAAGCCAGGTGAGCCCCTGTTGCTCATCTGTCTGGTTCTGGGCCATCATACAAATGCCTGAGTGAGGACCAGTGCTTCGTTTCCCTAGTTGTGGCCTGAGCCTTGCACACAGTGGATGTTTAAAATGCTGTTAATTCAGCAAAAGCAAGAAGCACTGACTCATACGATTTTAGCCTCTGCTCCTTGGATTCGGGCAGGTCCGTCTCATGAAGCCCACGAGCGACTCTGCCCTTTCGTACATGAACTCTTCTGTGTCCCCCAACTGCAAGGCCCCCTTCTGCTTCCCAGCAGCTTACCCCACTCCATTCAACTCACCACTTAACGGAACCCTTGGGATAATCAGGTTCTGACCTGAGAGACAGGAGTGAGCCTGAACTCTTGGGTGAAGACATAGAGGCTTGACTTGATCCAGGTCATGGTCCATTTGAGGAATTTTATTAATAGAATGAGGCCGAGATGGAGTCCCATCCTCAGGAAGCCCCCAGCTTGGTAGAATGGGCAGATACTTAAAATGAATCTAAGTTTGGAAGCTCAGACCTCAGTGGAGACAGGATATGGGCAAGGTCACCAGTGTGATATGCTCAGTCCTGCCCTGCAGGAGCGGACAGGTATGCCAGAAGAAGTGCCCATTGCAGGCAGTCCTTGAGGGCAGGTAGATATTTGCCCGGGAGGGGCTGGGAGCTCCCTGCTGAGGCGAGTGTGTGGCCTCCAGCTGATGTGTCAGGACTCCACACGCACTGGTGGGCCCAGCAAAGCTGAGTGGGAACCCAGCCGTGCCCCCTTCCCCTTCCGTGCTGCCTTTCTCTAAAGCAGCAGCTTCTCTGTCCTGCTCCCAGCCAGGCTGCTTGGTGGAAGTCGCAGGAGACTGGGCCAGGCTGGCTGGTAAAGATTGGGAGGGGTGGGCAGAAAGGTCCGTGACACAACATAGTTATGACTGAGGGTGAAGAAGGGCTTCTAGAGGTAATGGGAGACACCCCAGGACCCTGAGGGAGAGAATGAAGACTCTACCAAAAGACACAAAGCTATATAAGGTTTTGCAGGGCCTGAGGGGCTCACTGGGAACTGTCTGCCATTGGCCAGAAGTCAGGGTAGAGGAGAGCAGAGCAGAGTGAGAGAACCCCTGGAGAGGTCAGTTATCTGTGAGGAATGGCCGCCTTCTGACCTGGGAAGTGCATTGGTGCCTCTCTCTTTGGTTCCTGTCAACACCTAGTTGGGGCAGCCTGGTCCTGGAGCAGCTGATGCTCATTGGGTCACAGCTAGGGGGACTGATTTGACTGCAAATCCAAACATTCTCAGGCCTAGACCGCACGTGGGGGTCTGCCTGCCTTCTCACAGACCCAGGCAGAGTCTGGAATGATGAAAATCAGAGGCACTTGCCTTTCGTGTCATTTTCTCTGCACTCCCCTGGCGCCTGAGTACTCCTCCAGGTGGATTATAGCTGCTCTCTCAGAACCCTCCACAGCACAGAGATGAAGAATGAATGCTCCATAGTTCTTTTTGGGGAAACAGACGCAGCAGACAAGCCCCATGTGCCAGGGCACAGACTCCCACATGGTGGGGCCGAAATGAAAACCAGGCAGTTTACTTCTCTAACTCATATTCTGAAACGTTGGTTGCACAGAGGTGTGATCGCTTACCCACCCCTTCCTGCTCCCTTGCTGTAGGCTATGAACTCTCCAAAGTGGAAGGGAAAACGGGAACCCCTGAGAAGCCCCTCTCAGACCTTGGCCTCCTGTCCTACCGGAGCTACTGGTCCCAGACCATCCTGGAAATCCTGATGGGGCTGAAGTCAGAGAGCGGGGAGAGGCCACAGATCACCATCAAGTGAGCCTGGCCCTACCTCCTATCCTGGGGGTGCATGGCATGGTCCATCCTCACTCCTGGGGTTCCTGGGGGCTTGGGGCGGAGATGAAGGCTTCCAGAGGACCTGATCTTTGCCCTCCCACAGCGAGATCAGTGAAATCACCAGCATCAAGAAGGAGGATGTCATTTCCACTCTACAGTACCTCAACCTCATCAACTACTACAAGGTAGGGAGGCAGGCAGGGGGAGACAGGTGTGTGTAGGGCTGCAGAGTGCGGGCCCTGCGCGGGCTGACTCGCCCTGGCCCCATCTCCCATCCAGGGCCAGTATATCCTCACACTGTCGGAGGACATCGTGGATGGACATGAAAGAGCTATGCTCAAGCGGCTCCTTCGAATCGACTCCAAGTGTCTGCACTTCACTCCCAAGGACTGGAGCAAGAGGGGAAAGTGGTGACCAGACACTGTCCATAGCAGTGGCAACAAAGCAGAACTGGGGCTGACAGCACATCCTACCCCTATCGGGGCCCCCAAGAGGCACACCAAGGGAGGTGGGGCTGAGGACAGCTCCATAAGGAGAGGACAGGCCTGGTAGGGCCTGGCTGGTGCCTAGCACCGAGGTGAGCTCAGGGCTCAGGTCAGCTCCAAGGTCAGCTGGCTGCAGGTCTGGGCCTGCTATGAACCAGGGACTCTACGGAGCCAGGCAGCTGTGTATAGTGCGATGGGGGGGACGGGGGGGGGGGGGGGGGGGCACGCCGGACAGGGGGCCAGTGGCTGTAAAAATTTCTTTTGTAAAATAGGAGTTGGGGGGGTGGGTACTGGCTGCAAAGTTCTGGCCTCTCTTGCCCTCACTGCCCCTTGGCAATAAATTGTTTCTATAGGCCAGAGCCATGGAAGTTTCTTGTAGGAGAAGGGGCAGTGCCAACTTAGGGACTCCCAAGGTGCCCACAGACTCACAGGTGCTGTGAAGAGCGTGTTTATTGGGGGGTGATGGAATCAGTCAGTGGTTCCAGAACGAAGAGCTGGTTTATTGGGGTGGAGGGACCGGTGGCTTTCAATGTCAAGTTCCAGTTCTCAGTCCTCAGGCACCTGTGCGTGAATCTGCAATAGGAGTCACTACTGGATTTTTGACACACAGTGACTGGGTAGCCCACACACTCTCGGAGGGACCAAGCTACTCAGAATGAGCCCCTTCCAGACAGGTCTGAGGTGGGGAAGCCACATGCTACTGACCAGTCTAATCCTCCATTCAGACCCAAGCTCCATCTGCCCTATTGTACTCCCCAGCCCCGAAGCCCCAAATCCACTCGGGCAAGATTCTGGATAACCCAGGGAATAACCGTGAAATCACAGGGTAACTAATGGATGGGGCCTGGAAGAGTGAAGGCCCATCACCTACTCACCGCTGCAGCCAGACCGGGCCAGGTGAGGGCCCCGCGCACTTTGGCATCCGGACCGGGGATGGTCTCCAGGCCCCACAGTGTGAAGCGGCTGAAACTGGCGGTGGCTCCGATAAATCGGTCCTGAGGAAGGGGCCCGGCTCAACATCGGGGCCGCCGCTGCCGCCCGCACCCCCTTCCAGCCCTGACCCCCCCGTGCTCACAAAGTCCCGCTCCAGCGCCTCTGGGGGTGCCGCCAGCTCCGGCTCCTCTCGCAGGTTCGACGAACCCTCCGAGAAGTCCTTCCCCACCACCTCTCCCTTCTCTTCCATCACCATCACGTATCCCTCGAGGCCGGGCGGCACCACCACCTCCTCGCCCCGTAGTCTGCGGCCCCGAAACGACACTTCGAGTCCTGTAGGAGGTAGGCGCAGGGTCTCGGTGAGGGCCTGATTCCGGCCTTGCGGGGCAAGACCTTGGGGCCCTCCCCACACCTCCGCTGGACCACCATCCCCAGGAGCCCTCGCGCCGCTCCTCGCCGAGGAGAGCGCGGCGTGGGCGCGGGGGCTGCCGGGAGCCGTAGTCCGGAGCTGAGCACTCACCATCGGTACCCTGCCGGATGGCTGGGGTGAAGAAGCGCTCCACCGGGGCGGGCCCGTTAACCAGAACCTCGCAGGGCAGAAGGTGCAGCGTGGCGCGGGCGGCGTCGCGCAGCGTGCCGGGGCGCAAGTGGACGCGGCACTTCTCGACCGCCGCCTCGTCGCTGCTTTCCATCCTCCGCCGCTCGCTGGCTAAGGCCAAAGCTGGCGCGGAAAGTGCGCGGAGCCTGTCGGGAGGCCGGGGACGATCAGCGCAGAGGCCCCTGGGAGGCGTAGTCCTTCCCTGAGGCTCCTCGGAGCCTCTGTGAGCCCCGTCTCTCTGTGTTCAAGTCCCAGTCTTTTTTTCTTGAAAATGTTTTTCGGTGGTACGTTCTTATTGTAAAAAATTAAAACTATTCCGAAAAGTACTCTTTTTATATTATTCGTAGGGAGAGTTGCTTGTTTGTCTTACGGGAACATCAACCCTTCCTCAAATGAGTTGAAGATATTTTATCTGAGTTTGTGTCTTGTTTTCCAAACCGTGACTTTTATTTTTTTGTAGCAGATTTATCAATCTTTTCTTCTTATGTCTTTTTTGCTTTCGCAGTACTTTTCTTTTTTGGTTTCTTAAGTCCTCTCTAATGTTTATTTGTTCAGATACCCAAGTTAGATATGTTTTGTCAAGTTCTTTCATAAAACAAACACATGCAAAACTGGCAATTAAGATTACAATTGCATTTAATTTATAGATTTGAGAAAGTGAAACACACCTCTAGACCTCCAGGTGCTGTGCGTGGTGTTCTGTTAAACATGAACAATTTCACAGAACATCAACATCAGACAAGTCACTATGTGACGTGCAGAATCAAGACAAAAACAAGATCATTCTATAATCATGTGAACACCAACAAAGACAGGAACATTGTCCAAACCACAAAAATGATGAAACATCCCTCCATCTTGGGTAATATAAGTGAACTTTACCAATTACAGCTTTAGCTTTTGTCTAGGTAAGATTTGTTAACATATCCCATCCTAGAAATACTCTCACTTCCTGACAGTATCCAATCCAGAGAAAAACTATGGCTTTTTTTTTTTTTTTTTTTTTTTTTTTTTTTGGCAGAGAGAGACACAGTGAGAGAGGGAACATAAGCAGGGGCAATGGGAGAGGGAGAGGCAGGCTTCCCACCAAGGAGGAGCCCGATCAGGGGCTCGATTCCAGGACCCTGGGATCATGACCTGAGCCGAAGGCAGACGCTTAACAACTGAGCCACCCACGTGCCCCAAAACTATGGCTTTCTTAAACCCTCCCCCAAATCACCTAGCACAAGCCCAAATCCTATAAACCCTCCTTAAATACCGTTACTGAGATGCCCAACAGTGTAAGAGTAATAAACCCATTTATTCAACTATAGATGTATTCCTGGCAGTCTTTGGCTGGAGGGTATTAACAGATCAGAGAGTCTTGCTTTATTTAGTTTCTATCAAGAAAAAGATACATAATACCATTTATTCACATCTTCTTTCATGTCTGTGCAATTGTGAAGTTTTCTTTGTATATAATAGTTGTTACATATTTTAAGTGTATTCCTAGATAGCTTTTGTTTCTGTTATAAATTAGATTTTTTCCATTTTATATTATTATAGTTTTTTTAGAGATGGAGGAGTGGGGAGGGGCAGAGGGAGAGGGAGAGAGAGATTTTTTAAAAAAGATTTTATTTATGAGAGAGAGCGCAACAGGAGGAGCAGAGGGAGAGGGACAAGCAGACCCCGAGCTGAGCACGAAACTGATGCCTGGCTTGATCTCGTAACCCTTAGATCATGACCTGAGCCAACATCAAGAGTCGGTGGCTTAATCAACGGGGCCACCCAGGTGCCCCATTTTCCATTTTATTTTTAACTCTTTTCTATTAAAGCAGAGGTTGGCAAATCTCACATATGATCTCTGTCACAATTACTCAGCGTTGTCATTGTAGCATAAAAACAGCTATAAACAATATGCAAATAAATAAGCATGGCCGTCTTCCAGAAAAACTTCATTTGCAAAAACAAGAAGTGAGCTGGATTTGGTCTGCAGACACAGTTTTCAGGGAAGCCTTTGATTCTCACACATTAGTTCTTAAACCAGATAGATACTGAATTCTTCTGTTATTTCTAAGAGTTTTCAGTTTATTTTCTTGGGTCTTCCAGAATTAAGTCCTTCCACTTCCAAACAATGATAACTTTGCCTCTTCGTTGTATTGTGCAATTTGTAGCATTTTCTAGCACTTTCAGAACAATCTCACACGTTACTAATATCAGTGGACATCATTTTCTTTTTCCTGAAATTTTCATGGGAATTCTTTGCTATTTCACCAATAATCATGAAGCTGCCTTTCGATTTGTTACACATGTCTGGTTAAACCTATACTACTAACTTTTTTTTTTTAAGATTTTATTTATTTATTTGACAGAGAGACAGTGAGGGAGGGAACACAAGCAGAGGGAGTGGGAGAGGGAGAAGCAGGCTTCCCGCTGAGCAGGGCGCCCGATGCGGGGCTCGATCCCAGGACCCTGGGATCATGACCTGAGCTGAAGGCAGACGCTTAAAGACTGAGCCACCCAGGGGCCCCTACTAACTGTTTTTTAACGCAGGAGTAGATGTTGGATTTTATTTTTATATTTTTGGTTTTGCAACTTTCCCACAGTCTAGATTCTACTGATTGTGTTCCTAGGGTCATGGTCATCTGTCCTATATTTCCTGCAAATTAGTAGTAAGATCTAGAAGTATCATCAGATTCTCTGGGGGGAGGAGGCAAGATTATTTCCAGGGGGTGGCATCTTTTTCTGTCGGGATACCTCATGTCTCTTTTTTGTGAGGTTAGCTGTCATAGATGATCACTACCTAAATCCTTTCATTCATTAGGGGTTACAAAAAGCTGATATTCTAAGTCCACCATTCTTCTTTTTATTTTTTTAAGATTTTGTACTTATTCATTTGAGAGAGAGAGAATAAGCAGGGGGAAAGACAGAGGGAGAGGGAGAAGCAGACTCCCCGCTGAGCTGGGAGCCCGATGTGGGACTCGATCTCAGGACCTGGAGATCAGGACCTGGAGATCAGGACCTGAGCCAAAGGCAGACATGTAACCATCTGAGCCACCCAGGTCCCCCTAAGTCCACTATTCTTCTTTCACTGTCTATAATACTTCTATAAAGACAACTCCCCCTCATCAACTATCTGGTTGCCCCTTGGTACAGTGAGTTTAAGAAAAGCAAAATAAATGCTTGATGCTTTCCTTTTATTTCCATTTTTTAAAATAAGTTGTTTCCCTGGAATGCTCCAACTATGACTCTTTTAAAAAATTATTATTAAATAGATTTTTAACATTTTGATATAATTTAGCTAATTGTGGTTATTATTCTTTTTAAAAAAGATTTATTTATTTATTCTAGAGAGAAGGGGAAAGGCAGAGGCAGAGAGTCTTAAGCAGACTACGCTCAGCACGGAGCCAGATGCGGGGCTGGATCTCACAACCCTGAGATCAGGACCTGAGCCAAAACCAAGAGTCGGGCGCTTAACCGGCTGAGCCACCCAGGTGCCCTGTGCTTATTATTCTTATCAATCCCCACATTGTCCCATCTTGCCAATGAAAGCCTCTTCAAGTTAGCCCATGAGTCTTTTTATGTGACCTTTTTTTAGTCTTTTATAGTTTTTTTGTTTTCCAGAATCACAAGACGTTCCTGGCTCATCTTGTACCTCATTGCTTGTACATTTTTTTTTCCTGCCCCGGACTTGAATCATCCATTTCTCCAAGGATCCCTGGTTTTCTTACTAGGAAATTGTATTTACGAAACCAATGTGAAACTAGATGTGCTCATTGCCACTAGATTGTTTCTAGATGTTTTTAGTGGATGTTTTCAGTTTCTAGTTGTTTTCAGTGGACAAAGCTAGGAAATATGTAGATTTCTCTTTTAAAGGGAAAAAACATCATGAGATCCTACTGTTACTTCTCGGAGGACAGAGCATTACTAACCTCATTGCTTGTACATTTGTATCCTTTTTTTCTCCTGCACTGAAAAATGCCAGCTCTCATCCACTTGGTTCCCCACTATATACGCAACAGTCTTGGAAGAAAAATAACAACACCACAACTAACAGTAATTAACAAACACAGTTTAATCATTTATTTTTATAGTTTCCCTTTTCCTTATGATGTATTCCACTGCAGATATATATAATTTACTTACTGTTTTTAAAAGTCACTGAAACATTGGTAACATTGTCTATTCTTTTAAATTAGTAGCCTAACTTTATGTACATTGAATTCAATTTCCTGATATTTTGTTGAGGATTTTTACACCTGTGTTCATGAGCAATATTGATCTGTAGCTTTCTTTTCTCGTAATGTCTTTATCTGGTTTTGGCGCTAGGGTGATGCTGACCTCATAGAACGAGTTTGAAAGTATTACCTCTGCTTCTATTTTCTGGAAGAGATTATAGAGAATTTTTATTGTTCTTTCTTAAATGAGTTTTCACCACTAGAATTCACCAGGGGAACCAACTGGCCCAATGTTTTCCTTTTTGGAGAGTTATTAATTATTTTTTATTGTTGTTCATTTTTAAATAGATTTTTATCTTTTTCGGATTTATCACGGTATTATTTCTAAATTGTACATCATGATGATTTGATACATTGGGTTCCTCCCATCCAGTTAATTAACACATCCATCACCTCACATGTTTATTGTTATAATTATGTTATAGATTAATAATATATAATGGTAAATATTATATTTTATATACTTCTTATTTTTTAAATATTTTATTTATTTATTCATAAGAGACAGAGACAGACAGAGAAGCAGAGGGAGAAGCAGGCCCCCCACTGAGATGGGAGCCCAAGGCGGGACTCGATCCCAGCACTCTGGGATCATGACCTGAGCCGAAGGCAGATGCTGAACCATCTGAGCCACCCAGGGACCCTTATATACTTATTATTGGTTCAAATTCTTTAATAGATATAGGTCTATTCAGAAAATCTATTTTTCTTTGTGTAAGTTTTCATTCAAGGAATTGGTCCATTTCATTTAAGTTACCAGATTGTGGACACAGAGTTGTTTGTAATATTTCTTTATTATCCCTTTAATGACCATGGGATCAGTAGTGATGACCCCTCTTTTATATCTGGTATTAGTAATTTGTGTCTTCTCTCTTTTTTTCTTAGTCTGGCTAGAGGCTTATCAATTTTTACTGATCTTTTCATAAAATCAGCTTTT